TCTGCATGCAAAGCAGGTGGCCTGCAACCAAAATATGGCCCATCACATACAAATTGCATATACTTGCAGTAGCTGTGTGTGACACACACAGAGACAGAAATGATAGTTCTGCACAACCCCAGGTTGGTCATGATCTAGGAACATCCCATGGAGGGCACCAGCTGTATGAACTGGCCAATGCTTTCCTTGGCGTTCTGAGAATTGCTACATTCCAAATTATGATCTCTCCTTCGCTCTGCAATATACATCTTAAAATAGGGTTCAGTATAAAATGGCTTAGCTCGTTCTGTTTGCTGCATCCTGAATGTTGCCAGCATAGGGATACGATTTGGGACACATTTTAGGACATATTTCAGTAGTCTGATATTTCAACTGTGTTTTGAAACACGGAGGACTATGATTCTCATTCTAGTGGAATCCACTTCTTTGTAACTGACAGGAGGGATCAATACATCCAGTCACTCAAATTCATAAGGTCTCTGAACAGCAAACCCTGTTTGGACATTTCTTCTTGTTGTTGCTAAAGCAGGAAAAATGTGTTTACATCCATTGAATACATATCTATACACAGAGATATACACTACAGTCACAAAACCAAAACCTTATTTGCTTTCATGAGGCGGGGATGGGGGATTACTACTGGGATAAATTTCCATTTCCATCTTCCCCATCACCTTCCCCTGGTCAAAACAGAGAAATAACTCATGTCCTTTTACTGGTGAGTGGGCTAGAAAGAAGTCACAAGATTTCAGCATGGTTGAAAGACTCACCAGCCACTGATCATGGCTCACAATGCTTTTCTTTTTAAAATGCATAAAAAGAAAAGAGAAAACTCTACCCTCGGCCACCACATCTATAAGTACGATAAGCCAACCCTGATATCCTGAAATACTCAGAAATTTCTACTGGCCTATGCCATTCTTTGCCACTTTTTCTTTTCCCCCTTTCCTCCCAGCATATGGTCAGTGCTCGGTGAAGTATCAGCCCGGCCTTTTGTTTTGATTTCCCACTAAATGCATATAATCAGGATATAAGTGTTGGAGAACATTTCAACTAAACAGCGCCAATTTAGAAAGATTTTATTCTGGAAGGCAGCCAGAATAACCCTCTCCTTGTTCCTGTGAAGTATTTTATTTTTTTCCTCATCTCCACTGCCTCCTTCTGGTGCATATCTCCTCTCACTCTCTCTTCCCCCCTATTACCAGACAACTGCTGCCTGGTTAAACCCCAGAAAGTTCTCTAGCATACCATAAAATGGATAATTTTCACGATAAAATGGTGGAAGTGGAATATAACTCAGCCATAATCCACTGCTTTACGGAAATGGGTTCCTTCTTTCTAAGACATAAATTCCCCAACAGATACCCCATTTAGGGTCAAACTACACATTCATAAGAAGCACAGGGGTACCATTGATATGAATGTTGTCATGTCACATTCTCCTCCTACAGTAGAATGTGCCTTACCATATACTCAGTGTCTTTATATTATTATGGGAATTACACACACACACACACACACACACACACACACACACACACACTATACATTAGCATTAACTAGTAATATTAAATGGGGATGGGGAAGAATGAAAAGTGTACTGATGTCAGAATACAATTTTAATATCAAAGAACAACTTAATATGATTACTATTCAAACCCAGGACACCTGGAAGATTGCTTCTTCCTATACCATTCTATCCTTTCCCTAAGATCAGAAACACGAGAGTTTTCTCTGTCCCATCTAGTATGGAGGCATGGTTGACGGTAGCAAGAGATAGGGTCTTCTCAGTAGCTGCACCAGTATTTTGGACCAACTTGCTCAGTGAACTGTGGCTGGTCCCATCTGTATCTCTTGTACTATTTCTATTCCAGCAGGCTGCTGTCTGTGATGTAAAGGTCATATTTCATTTACAATCTCTGCTTTTGTTTTATTTTATTCCATGGTATTGTTGTAAGCTACCCTGAGTGGTTCACAGGCACTCAATGGGCAGACACAAATTTCTATATAGATATGGAAACTTTAAATATAAAGTTGCACTCCATCTTATGGAGGTGGAAGGGAGCCTTAATAGCAGCCTGTCTTCTTTGGAAGAAGCCCTGTGTTCCATTAGGACGTGTTATTCAGTCCTCAGTCTCTACAACCTATGAATGCAGGCACCCCAATCTACAGAACTGTCAGGGCAGAATATCTCTGTGCCACTTGCTGATGAACAGACATAAAACTTCTCCTCTTAGCAGATGGATGGCTATGATTGTCAATGGGTGACAGAGCTGACCATGTGTTTAGCAATGTGTGAATGTTGCAAAAGTGCCATATGTGCAGTCCTAGAGGCGGGATATGAATGATTCCCCTGCCATGTACGCAAGAGCCTTCTGTGCTTGTATTACGGAGAATTTGTGTTTGGAAAGCTGTTGCTATGCATTATTGTCTTCCATTATTAGACTGGGGCCAGATAATCCACTATTTCATGGAATCGTGGAGTTGGAAGGGTCCCCAAGGGTCATCTAGTCCACCCCTCTGCAATGCAGGAATCTCAGCTAAAGCATCCATGACAGTTAACCATCCAACCTCTGCTTAAAAACCTCCAAGGAAGGAGAGTCCACAGCCTCCCAAGGAAAACCATTCCACTGTCGAACAGCTCTTACTGTCAGAAAGGTTTTCTGTATGTTTAGTCAGAATCTCCTTTCTTGTAACTTGAAACCATTGGTTTGAGTCCAGTCTCCAGAGCAGGAGAAAACAAGATTGTTCCCTCTTCAACGTGAAAGCCCTTGAGATTTTTCTTTTCACTGTTATGATTTCCTTCTGAAGTCTTCTCCATGACTTTGATTCAGTACTTCACAGTGACCCTGAAAATAGGATCTTTTTTTATTATTCCCCTTCAATTGAGTCCTTCATTCAAGGATCCAAGAGTCATCTATTGTTCTTCTGTAAAGGCTGACCAATACAGAAGCTATTATTTTGTCTGCAGAAGAGGAACTGTTATACATCTCATGGGTTCTGTGCTTTCAAGCAAACAGAGCTTTCTTAACAATTGTCCTCATCCAGCTGTTCCTTATATACTATATAGTATACCATTCATAGAAGAGAAGAGTTTGGATTTGATACCCAGCCTTTCACTCCCCTTAAGGAGTCTCAAAGCCACTAACATTCTCCTTTCCCTTCCTCCCCCACAACAAACACTCTGTGAGGTGAGTGGGGCTGAGAAACTTCAGAGAAGTGTGACTAGCCCAAGGTCACCCAGCAGCTGCATGTGGAGGAGCGGGGACATGAACCCGGTTCACCAGATCACGAGTCTACCACTCTTAACCACTACACCACACTGGCTCTCATACTATACCTTTCACTTTAATGCAGGGGTGGATAACCTGTGGCCCTCCAGAAGTTGGTGAACTGAAGTCACATAATCCCTTACCATTGGCTTGGGGCTGATGGGAGTTGGTAGTTAGCAGGCTTATGTCTGCCTCCCCTCCCCTCCTCTTGTGTAGACAACTACTTCCCATTCTGGATCTCATTGTGGTTTATTTAGTTAGCATCATTTTTATCCTGCTTTTCTGCTTCTATTATGTTAAAAACAGAGCGCTAAAGGTGACTAGGAACATTTTTTAAAAAAACAAATCAAATGCAAAACTATAATATAAAGACACAAAAATGCATAAAAGAGACAGGGGAACAGGCTTTTTTTTTTTAACGGAGTCAGCGTAAACAGTTGGTGTTGTGTGTGTGCCAGCTTTTCTGCCATCTGTAATTAGCACTTTATCACAGTTTGCAAATACAGTTAGAAGCTGGTTTGCAGTGATGGTTAGAGCAAACTATGGTTTGCACAAACCCTGATTGTACATGAAACGCTAGTTAGCTCTGAAAAGGAATAATGTCTATACAAGATTCAAAGAGCCTGTGGGACACTTGAAATTGCCCATTAATGAATGATTCAGTAACCAAGCAGGATGTAGCTAATTCACTCATATATATATTAGAGTGAATTGGCTACACCCTGTTTGGTTACTGAAGTATATACATATATATATATATATATATGGAAATTCTGATCTTGCAGACATTTCATATGCACATCAGAACATTTATGAGGCTCAAGAAAGACAGTACCAAATGGGTACTTTGATCATCAAATCAATAGCTTTTTCTCCATAAACTTCAATGAGATAAGAATTGGAGACATGGAGTGCTTTAAATTAGAATCTCAAAAGAAGGTCTGGTATTTAATAAGCAGGTAGTTTTGAAAAGAAAGGGAATGGGCAGAATTCCACTGCTCCCCTTGAGAGAAACAGAAAGGTGTATATAAAGGCATCTGAAGTTAGATTCTGCACCAGCTAGGTCTGGAAATTAGCTTCAGAAGTTCATATTTTCCATTTACTCTAATCCCCTTATCCCTTCAACTAAAGTCACTGGCCTTTTTTATTATTAAAAAAAGTATAATTGAAACTTTTGAAAAAAATACAGCAATTCTGCATATACTAGAAACTTGGCATTCATGGAGCATTCCCAAAATGTAGTGATTTTCTTTATTTCATTAGAACTTTAAAAAAGTAATTAACATACCTACTGAGGAACAAGAACAACCCCAAAAAGATTTTCTAGAGTAATAGCATTCATATTTCAATAGTCTGAAAGAGATGGTTAAGGAAGGCTGAGGCTATTACATATTTAAGAGCTTTGAGACAAAAGACCTTGTTTTCTCATCAGTTATGAGCGCATAATTAAAACAAAGAACTATGTTAATTTCATTCATTATTTAACCCACATACTTTGCCAACCTGCCTTTTTAAACTGCCCGGTGGAGGTGGTGAGGATATTACTGAGGTCTTTAGAAAGGTTCCCTGCTTATTGTTCCAAGAGAAACTACAATGCCATAGACCTGTAGTAAACCCCGTCGGATTCCAGTTTATCATATCGGCATGAAAGCCTTCTGAAATGCATCAGTTCCCTGCTAAACCCTGATTTTGGTTGACTCACAATAAAGAACAACAGCTGTTGACATTTGATTTCATTAATTACTGATCTTCTGAGAAGGGCCAGATGACAGACTCAGAACATGTAGGGCTATCACAGAATCTGGTTGGGACAAGGGTGAAGCCAGGGAGAGCTTGATGGTTTGTGGATGGAAAGTGGTGGCATGAGGTTGGTCATGGACAGAGCCTGAAAGAATCTGGAGTCCATTGAGGTTTCACACTCCAGTTGTGGTTTACCTGACAGAAAACAAAGCAGTGCTTGAATTTTGGGCATAGCAGGGGAGCATGGCATCTTTAGCAACTGATTTAGAGCAAAGCCATAATTTGCTCTAGAGATAATTAGGCTCCACTCGTATACTTTCTGCCAGGAGCAAAACTCATTTTGGAACTTAGTTTTGAGTAGACATGTAAATAACAAAACCAGAAAAGGCTACCATCTCTCACCTCTCTGCTCCCCATAGTTTTAATCACATGCAAATCTAGGGATGAGGAAGGAATCTAGTGAACTCAGTTTCTGAAGGGGAATCACCTGATCCAATCCACCCAGACAAATGTGCAGATCAGGTCAGCAGTCTGCTCCAGTATCTGCAAGTTGCCACATTTCCTAGTAAGTATACATATCTTATAATGAGGTTGTTTGCGGGTGTTCTTCTCTTGGTTGTTTCTCAAAAGTAATTACAGCCACCAGAGACACCAGCTTGTGAGGGCAATTGGGGAGCCAAGGTTACGTGTGTGACATCATGACATCACAACGTCATATGTGTGACATCAGGATGTCAGGAGGAGCAAAGGACAGAGCTGAATGCAGTGGCCAGTGGCTCTTCCTCTGTCTCCCTTTGCCACCAACACCAGCAGGAGGCTACTTTAACCCTCCTTCCCCTCCATGGCAGCAGGAGAAGGAGGTTGCCACTGAAGCTGCAATACACTGTGATCAGCTCCGTGCTTCACTTCCATGTTTTTTGGACATGGGGGGTGGCTCCTACCCTCAAAATATAAGGGGGTCAAAAGGGTTCAACACCCAGGAGCAGGTGCCCCTGACAGTCACCTAATAGCAGCTAGCCAGCCTTAGCATCTCCTGCCATTGCATACAGTGGTACCTTGGTTTACAACCATAATCCATTCCGGAGGTCCGGGTGTAAACCAAAACAGGTTGTAACCCAAGGTGCACTTTTGCCAGTGGGGCCTCCCCCCCAAAAAAAAAAATTGGTTGCAATAAAAAATAAAATAAAAATAAGTTGTAATCCAAAAAAAAAGGGACATGCACTTCCGGGGTTGCCGTGGTTGTAATCCAAAACAGTTGTAATCCAAAGCGGTTGCAAACCAAGGTACCACTGTATATCAAAATCAAAGTAGTTGCAGCAAGTCTCCTTGGGAATGATGGGACTTGCTGAAGTGCCATCATTCTTTTGGGGGGGCGTTTTATGGGGAACAACTTGGCTGCCCTTATAACTCATATTATATGCCATATCTCCACGTATATATCCAGATAGATAGATTATATCTTTCCATGTAATGGTTGTTATGTTATGCTTACAGTGTATTTATTTCAAAAATGTAATTGAATGTGTTGTTCTTATTTTATTTAATGGCACATTAACAACCTGGAGTGTCATGTGGCAGGCAGGCATAAAAATCAGACTAGTAATCTGTTAGAAAGATCTTTACCACAGGCTGTACCATTTAGTCACACTGCACTATTTGCAGATCAGTACACATCCATCCCAGTGATCCACACTTGTGTACGGGTCATCCTTTCTAGATCAGCAGTGGTGCTTCATTCATTCTTGACTGGATGGGAAGGATCAGGTCAAATGTGTGACCCATTCTCAATTGACCTGGACTGTGCTCACTGGAAGGACAGATCCTGAAACTGAGGCTCCAATACTTTGGCCACCTCATGAGAAGAGAAGACTCCCTGGAAAAGATCCTGATGTTGCGAAAGATTGAGGGCACAAGGAGAAGGGGATGACAGTGGATCAGATGGCTGGACAGCGTTCTCGAAGTTACCAACATGAGTTTGACCAAATTGCGGGAGGCAGTGGAAGACAGGAGTGCCTAGTGTGCTCTGGTCCATGGGGTCACGAGGAGTCGGACACGACTAAATGGCTAAACAGCAACAAATATATCCAAAGAGTTCAGATAATGGATGCTCACCCTTGCCAGGTGAGTGGTAGTTGCTGCCCCTTGCCCTTCGCCAAAATCCCATGTCTTCTGGACGTTTGGGAATTCCCCAACTGGAGCAATCTCAGGGCGGGACTTCCCATCTGAACCCAATTTCAAATGGACCAATCTAAGGCCCTACTGGATGTGCAGTGGTCTGCTGGCTGAAAAGGGCATTGGCTGTTTCCATGCCCATGCCAGGCAACAATGCTTTAATTCCCTCCACTGCTCTGAAGCACCGTGAACCTGAGCAGCTTTTTTGGAAAACTTTGAGGACTTAATTCCTCCCAGTCCCAAAGCTAAACTTGTTTTGGATACAAGATAGTGGCTGAAACCTTTCAAATATTCATTTCAGCATTTCCCCAATACATACATTACAGAGATGTTAAGAAGTGACAGGTTAATTTTTTCTCTCAATTACACTTGGGTTATTCTGTAATTAAATACAAACGAATGGGGTGATAATTGCCCACAACAGTATTAGACTCAATAACAAAGGGTAGCTTGATCCACAGCAATTGGCAATGAAACATCAAGGTGCCTGCCAGCTGTGACAGGATTCCTTCCACAGTTCAGCTGGTAATTTGGCACCCCCAGTTTATAGGATCAGCTTTCAGTTTAAAAGAGAGAAGTGCAGCATTCAACCAGCAAAGGAAAGTGTTGTAGAAGTAGATATTTCTAGCTTGCTAAACTGCAGTGTGTCCTCATGACAGATCTGTGTGGGAATAATTTCTCCCCAGACACTCACCAGCTGGTGATGCGTGTTGCAAACAGGTTACCTGGGTATCTTGAAACCATGTGCAACTTGCCAGTAGATCACCAAGCAGCAACTCACTGTATCAAAGTGGGGTTTGTTTCAACTGGTATTCAAAACTCCACACACATATATTAGCATTTCTGAAGTATGCATATAATGATGGAGCAGCTGCTAAACCTAAAAGACAAGGCATCTACAATAAACCTGACAACCACAACAAGGCACCATGCTTGCTTATGACGCTTTACTACAGGAGTAGCCAACATGATGCTCTCCAGTTATTGCTAGACTACAACTCCCGTCACACCTGGCCATTGGTCATGCTGAGTGGGGCCTGAAAGGAGCCTGACAACATCTGGAGTGCACCATGTTGGCTTCCCCCAGTTTTACAGTATAACAACAGGATAGCAGGTTCCTCACCTGATATATTTACAATCTAAAATTCAACTCGGGAGGCACAACAGAATGAGGGGAGGAACACAGAGGCGAAGATAAACCACACACAGCTCATTCCATCAATCTTCAGCTACTTCCATCAATCTATTAATCCCCAAGATACTATTGTACTATTTTGGGTGTATTTGCTTAAATTGGTCTGTATTGCCACATTGCCTATGTTTATACAGTGTCCAGTGTTGGTAAACTCTCTCTCTCTCTCTCTCTCTCTCTCTCTCTCTCTATATATATATATATGGCTATATAAATATTATTATGGGGAAAGAGTTAAAAATTCAAGAAGATAACATTATCTTAAATTATATAACCTAACTGAAGTTGTGAAATTTTGGGCTCACACAAGGTGCTGCTGAACTTTGAAAGACTGAAGTCTTCCCTGGTTTGGGTACTGTCAAGCACACTTCATCTGACACCACAGGCACAAACATCATCTGGGATCTACATTAACACACACACACACACACCCCGCATTGGAAATCTCACTGGGGGAAGCCAACACTGTACTCCAGACATTGTCAGACTCCCCCCAGAAATGATCCCCTCCCCAACACTGGATGAAGGATAAGAGAGGAAGAATGAGAAACTAAAATGGACAGATTTGTTCATCCTGAATCACAGCTTAGGCTAAGAATTTTTATTTATCCTGCCTGTCTGAGGCAATACTGAGCTATATAGCCCAAATGTCAAGCCCAGAAAAAGGCAGTTTTCTATGTACCATGCCAATCATCTTCACTTTTTGGTCTTTTTCCACTTAATTTGCTCCAGATTTTTGTACACTTAAATGTTTCTGTCTCTTGGAAAAAATAAAGTGATAATAATTACTATGATTGATATAAGTATGGCATTGAAGTTGAGCAAGTTTAGTGAACTCATGCTTGAAACTTCTTATACATACATTCATCTGTACCGTCTTACGTTATGATGTATGCTTCTGTTAAATAGTTTTCTCAACATGGTGGGGGAGAGGACACCCTCCGCTTCATAGTTTCCAGAAACCTATCTCCATAATGTAATTTATTTTCTGCGTGTCCATTTAACAAGTCAGAGAAATTGCTAAAAAAAAATATATCATAGTGGTTCAGAGAATTTTTTCCCCAACCGGGTTTATGCAATCATTGACAAATGGCTTGTTCCGCAAATTATACAATACAGCTCAAGCTTGCAAACTCTGCTTGCTGCTGGTTGGCAAACTCAGAGGGAAGTTAATGAACTGAAACTATTTTACCATTTGGGAGAATAACTCCATGAGAATGTTAATAAATGTACAGAAACTTACGAGCACAATTGCATGATGACGAAAATGATATTCAAGCAGAGTGGCTGACTCATAACATTAAAAAAAAAAACAAAAGAAAAAAGAAAAAAACAGTGGAAAGTAATTAAAACTCGCTATTTGTGAAGGAATGAGATCCATTTGGAATGGAAATTTGAATTATTTTTGTTCATGGCAAATCAACACTCTTCATAGAACATAATGAAAAGGGAAGTCTGGAATTCCCTGTGGGATTTAATCAAATGTAAAGCACAAATGTGATTTCAATTTCATTCATGTAAATTCTAGAGATTGATTTAAATGGGATATGCAAACACCACAGCTGTATTCACTGAGAGTCTTCCTCTGTTTGTTCAGAACTGTAAGAAAAGGCTGTCCATTCACCATTATTCAGAAGAGTTACGTAGTTGAGACAGGAGAGGCTTTGGAATCTCACTCAAAAAGTATCACTTTCAAAGCAACAACTTTTTAAAAACAGCAATTCCTTGGCTACTTGGGTAATTAAATGTTGCCTTTGCCTAGTCAGGGAGTAACAGCTGGTCTCTGAGTCAGGAAGCAAATATTTCATCTCCGATTTTTGGTCTACAGCTCCTATCATCCCCACAAGTTCCCACCTCACCATTTTTGCCACCACTGGAGAAGGAACACATAGCTATCTACTGGTCTCCCCTGCCCCTAGGGAGGAAAGAGACCAGCAGCAAAGCCTTGTGGAACACCTCTCTCTCTCGCCTAAATTTGGTGAGGGGGGACATTCAGAAAACTCTTGAGGAGTTTGCCCACCCCCTGCAAAGTGACAAGGCTTTGCAAGGATTCATGCTGCCTCCTCCTAGCACAAGGGTGGCAGTGGGGCACTTCGTCTCAGGTGCCAAAATGCCATGCCTGTCCCCTGTGTTCCCTCTCCACTATGCCGCTGTTAAGAGGCAGTGGGTTGTATCCAATGTTAGTCATAAAGCAAATCCACTAAAATGAATGGACATGGTTAATTTGGGACAATTAATTAGAGTGGGTCTGCTGATAAGAAAGGGGTTGAAATTTGATTCAGCT